CACAGAATCAGAAGCTCTGATTATGTCATGCAACCTGTGTGACGGGAGAACAAGGAGATTCTGCTTTTGGGATCAGTGAAACTATGACTACTTAACACTTTTCATACTTATGATTTACTTCTCTATGTCCATTTTTAGGGTGATAAGTCTCTTTTTCACTGACATACTTTGGGAACAAAATACAATTTTCATGCCTTCCTGTGTGAGTTATTGTGAAAAAGGGAGGAGAGGACTTGCTGAAACATTGCAGTGATTCCATCCCTAACCAAGGGACATATTTTTTTGCAGAACAAAATTATCAGCAAAAGGTAATTCTACATAGACTGCATGTGCTAAACTCCTTAGTGTTCCAATTTATCTCTGTAGGGAATAAAAAACTGGATTCTCTTCTTTATCAATCCCACATTCCAGGGAAGCTGCATCTTTGGCAAACAACATAGGAGCAGGACTTTTCCAGCTGGTAGATGCACTCATCCCATTATTATTCCTCAAATACCTATACTGTTTAAAAATGTTGAATCATTTTCTAAAGCCATCAAAGAATCAGGGCTTTAAAGTCATTGTCACTTCCCAGAGTGTTGTAGAGCTCTTTGGTTATTCATTCTGAAAGCTGCAAAGGCAGCAAAGCATGCTGCCATGAGGAGGTGAGCGCTTCTATCAGAGTTCAGAAATCCCTCCCATCATACTGGTTTTTCCCCTTTTTTTTCTGGAGGGGATGATTCACTGAAAGGAACTGAACACATTTATGTTCTTTCTTGAACTAAGATCTCATCTGAGCCATCGCTGTGGGGTTTTACATGTAGGAGGGGGAGATCCACAAAAAAACTTAATTACTATGATCACCCCAAATGTTTTCACACTGATAACAGAGGGAGTCAGCACACAAAGTTTCTATGGTTACTCATGCCCATGTAAACACTTCCAGGGAGTTAAGAGGGTCTGAAATTGCTTCTGTGTGGCCTTATGTAAAAACAAATAAGGAGCTGGAATAAAAAATTAGTGTTTGGATAAATTTTATTAGCAAAATAATTATGGTTTACAAAACCATTAGGGTTTACAAAGACAAGGCAAAATATGTGAAAACCAGGTTAGATAGGGCTCTGAGAAACCTGGGATGGTGGAAGGTGTCCCTGCCCATGGCAGGAGTTTGGAATGAGACGATCTAAAGGTGCCTTCCAACCCAGGAAGCTCTGTGGTTCTGTGATACTATGATCTACTAAAACATCAGCAAAACCCACTGTTATTATCCTCCTGGAGGTGAAGGCTGAGTGGGTGCACACCTTTCTCAAGCACTGTTCAAGTTACCCACAGACTACTGATAACTGTCTGCATCAATCATGAGCCTCCCAGGTCTGTGTCTCATAGCACCATTTGCAGCTATGTTCATGCAAACTTTTATTACAGATATTTTGCAGCTAGGGAAATGATGGACAGCAAAAACCTAGTTTTCTCTAGTTTTTGTTTTTAGTTGTAACACAGATGAGTGAAATGTGCAGTTGTGACAAATATCTGAATGTATTTTTGCCCATACTTGAATATGTCTAGGGAATCTTGGATACAGAGCTATCTTCATCTCCCGCAGCAGCTCCCACCACAAATATAACCTCTCAGTTTCCAAAGTAATTACAGTATCTCAGTAGTATCATTGGGATGAATTACTTTCATTTCTATTTCACAGGTAGAAAAGTTGCTTTAAAAAGCTGCATTCTTCTTTTACCTCAGAACCACTCAATGCATTCTAGTTACAAAATAAACAAATGTTTCATCTGTGCTAGTGAATCAACTTCAGCAAACATACCTCAGACTGAAATGAACATGTTTTGTCTTTACTGGCGCAACATGTAGCAGCTACATGTTCACCAGTAATGCTGCAGGACCAAAAAAAAAAAAAAAAAAAGTTAATTTTAGCAACACAAACAAGTCATTAATGTCTTTCCAAATTTATTAAGGCAATTCCTAGGGGATTGAGGAGCTGAACACAGGTTAGTGACTTAACCACAGGACACTCCTTTCTGACTAGCTGACCTCTGAGGAGGTATCCTGCAAAATTTCCAAGAATCATCAGCTTTTCCTTGGTCTCAGCAGAACTCGAAGTCCTGAGCACCTGGAATGCCACAAACACAATCTACATGATGATGAAGCCTAGTTATGACAAGACCATGGGTGTTGGCAACATTTTTATAAATGCATTTGAAAAACACAATTTTAAATGTATTGTACCTCATTCACTTAGTTATGGTATATTTTTAATTACTATTGCAATAACATCTGGAAGCCTCACTCAGGATCTGGCCTCACTGCCCCCAAACTGTGTGAGACACAATTTTTCTGTGTTGTAGCGAACAAGACCCTGCAGAATTCCCCATGTAAGGGGAGAGGAAATGGGGACATGCTTCTGGTATCTGGGGCTGGCAGGCAAGCAGGATGCTGTGGGATCGTCCAATGGGCGTGTGTCCAGCCAGGAAAAGGGCCACAGCACGAGGCTGAAAACAAAACCCTCTCCCAAGTCTGCTTTCACACAAAGCCCCAGGAGGTGAAGCCAGCCAGCTGCAGGGCAGGCACATGAAACTTTTGCTCTGTGGCATCAGTTCATCCAGCCTGCAGGTTCTCCGAGCAGGAGGTGCTGGATAAGGGCAGGAGGGTTGGCCTTCCCTGCTGGGGAAAGATGGGAGCATCACTTAGTGCTCAATATCCAACAGCACTCGTGTCCCAGAACGAAGGAAGGCATCAGTCTCCCTCCCAAAGAGATCAGAATCCAAGAGACGAGAGTGAACACCCAGCTTAAGAAAACATGGCCAGGGAGGGGCAGGGCTGAGGAGAGGAGGGAATGAATTTCTGGATGGAGATGGGAACTTGATTCCCAGATATGCCCTCGGGCAGTCTATACCAGCAAACACAGCAGTAAGCTGTACTTGTAAATATATATTTTCACTTACTTAAACTGTAAATAGTGATGACAGCTGGGAGAAGAGCAAAGATGGGTAGGAGGGAGGAGAAGAGAGATTTTTTTTTTAATTTCTCATGAAGAAATAAGGTTGCCAATCTTAGAACTGGTGAAAATGTGTACTGGCATCAAACCAAAACTCAGCTCCTGAATGACACATGCTGACAATCAAGGTTCATTGTTTTTTCACTTAATGAGATCATTTCACAGAGCTTTGGAGTATTTTCAGGTTAGGGCCAGATCCTCACAGTGATACAAACCAGTGGGATGACTCAGTGCTGCTAAACTACAGAAGATCTGGCCTTCTAAGCAAAATTCAGATGCCTGGATCATCACAGAAAATGAACTTTCAAGGCCTTTAAATCCTTGTTCCTCAGATCCTCTGGATATTGTTAGATCATACAATTCTACTGTAATTATATTATCTTTCAAGTCATGGACTTCCTAGAGAAATCATATGAAATTCTCATTTTGTAGTAAACATACTGTACATCCCAGCCTTCTCAAATTCCTGAAAAGGTTTGGATCAGAAAAATAGAATCAATTAAATTCAAACCATTGGAAGGAAGGCCTGTTCACTGTAAACAATTAAACAATTTGTCCTTCTAAACATATTTTTGATTATTTGTTTTAAAGTTCAAGTCAAATAAGCTGTTTTGATCTGTAGAACTGAAGCCAAAATATTTTCAGATGGTCAATTTGTAAACTTTTTGACATTGACTCATGTTTTTTCTTGCCAGATTCATGACTTTTATCTCTTTGAGACTCCCTTGGCTTCTGAGAGACTTCCTCAGCTTCTGAGTGCCAATTTTAAACAGTGATTCAAATCCCAGTTAGATTCTTGGCACCTGAGACAAGCCCCAGTGATTTAAAGCCTTTTCAAAAAATTCTAGTACAAGTACCACCAATTTCTTCTGTACACTTCAAACAACACCATCTCAACTTTGCAGGGCTCTAAGAGAAAAAATCTATAGTAGAGATGTAAACCTCAATTGCTCTCTGATAATTTGGTTCCATTTCCTGCATTCAAAGCCTGTCCTGCTTTGCCCACCTGAGCTAAAGCGTTCAGGGACTTCTCTGGACTAAGAAAGTACCTGCTAAACAACATGTGAAGCAGGGGGAACTATGTTTTGAAACTCCTCTTTCTTCTGTTGTGCAGAGATAACAGAGAGGAATGAACATTTTAGTATAGCTGCTCTTGGTGGAGGAGACACCAGGGGAAACTGGGGCTGTGGCAGAGGGAATGAGGGAATGAAATTGTTGTGGTCTGCGCAGAGCAGAAGGCTCCAACAAAGATATGGGGCAAAATCTAGGAGTGTTTCTGCATGTCTCCATAGCCCATCTCACCCAATTCCCAGCAATTTTTGTAATATGTGAGTCTGATATGGTGATACAGCCATGTGTCTTTCTCTTAGTCGCTCCTAATTAACTTTTAACTTGGCCTCTGCTGAGAGAGGATCTCAAGGTGTTTCACTTTCACCAGATTGCCAGAGAGAAAGGATGGAAGAGCTAATCCCCCTGTGGGAAATCCAGACAAGGGAGAGTGTGGGGGTACCAGTCATCGGTTTTTCTGGGTCTGGATTGAAGGCACTTGAGACAGTAGTTCATGTTTGGACTCAGGTGTTTATTATTTCTTATTAGTAGAACAGTCTCATTACTGTGAGTTCGGCAGCTTTTCATTAGAAGGCACAAAATGGCTAACAATCTCTTGTTACAAGGTCTTTTAAAACTAAATTATCTAATTAAGAACTGACACCCAGATTATTTTCCCTTTCACCCAATAACTGATCCCAAAGAGCCTGAAATGTGGACTTTTCTTCCAATTACAAAATGCCACCCAAACCCATGAAGAAGAAGAAGCACGAAGAAGAAACCCAGGATGACACCCTGTGCCCTCCATCTTGCTTCCATCCACAACATATTAAAAATCCCAAAACCTAAATTTCTCACCAAGTGATACACCTACACTACAGTCTTTTCTATAATCTATTTCACACTTTTGTGGATTCTAGTCTATCTTGAAGTCTAGGAAACTTTCTCCATGAATGAGGGTCAAAGTTAGTGCTCCCCTGGGGGTCATGGCACCTCAGAGCAGACAGAGAAATATTCCCGGTGCCCTGGGTTTCCACAGGAGAGAATCCTGGAACTATCAGTATAAGGCAATCCACACAGCATAACAATTTAAGAACATCCAAACTGCTGCAGAAGTTTTGGCTGCAATTTGATTTTTTAGGAAACCAAAGAACCTAACTGCAAATCACAACACACAAAAGAATTCAGTTTTGGTACTACTCAATGAAGTGTGCTGCTGCAGGAACCAGCAGGTCCAAACCTAGAAGCTTCTCTGGCCTCTGCTTGCATTGACTTCTTCCAGTCCAGCCCTGTCACGCCACAGGCCTCCTGTGCATCTCAGGCAGGTCAGCTCCTCTCTTTTGCAGAAAGATTTTCACCTGCAAAACAGGAATCGCTGGGGCACCATTCAGCCTAGTGGGAATACCATGACAGTAAATACTCCAAAAATACCAAATCACAAGTTTCCTGAAACTGAGGAGACCAAAAGGGCTTGTCTAGAGCCACAATTCAGGCAGTTGTCTCCACCTAAAAAGCTCTAATGGGATGACAGGACATGACAAAAAAAAAAAAAAAAAAAAAAGGGATTTCACCACCACCAGAGCCATTTTCTCAAGCATAAACTGTAGAACACAAGGACTTTGAAGCAGCACATCTGTGTCCATGGCGTACAGGCAAACCTCTGTCTGACAGAGATTTTGGTTTAAAAAACAACATGAAAAACACTAGTATAGATCTGGCCTGGGCCTACGTCATGTTTGATAGGTTGAGTCCACCTGGAAACAACCAGAGGCACAATCAGGTACAGACAGATGGAGCTGCCTTCCACAAGCAGAGACATTGAGAGAGTGAAGATCCATGCCACACTGAACTGTGTCTTCAAGTGCCACATGTATTTTGGACATTTCCAGGGAGGGTCACTCTACTGCTTCCCTGGGTAATTTGTTCCAATGCTTTACAACACTTTTTGTGGAGAATTTTTTCCTAATATTGCAGTCCCTGACTGATTCTGCTTTACATCAGTGCCTCTGATACAGGCTCAGTTAAAATTTCATGGTTGAGCTGGTGCAACTTGTTTATGTGATCCTTCTTAAAATGATTTGATTTTTTTTTCCCCACCAGGAGAACAAACAGAAACTGAACTGATAGCAAGCAGATTAATCTACTGAAAAGACATTGTGTCAGGGTTATGGTTTGGAATATTTGAAGAATGTGAACATTGATAGAACAGAATCAGAAAGAGCCCTTCTTTTGTCACTTGTGCTTAGTTTGCACACGTTTCATTTTATCAGCTGCAGTGGAGTTTTTCCCAGTCTAAACCAGTGTTAGAGAAAGAGGTGAGGCACAGGAACACCAAGAGTGAGAACTTTTGAATTAGTAAACTGAACAATCTGGACCGTATTTAATCACATACATTTCATACACAGAAGAATTATGGGAAGGCATGAAGAAAAAAATGCTTGTGAAGATGCTAAATGCAATTTATTCAAAGAAATAAGATCAAAAGAAGTGTTTGAGCAGGAAAAAAATTATGCTGTATGCAAAGCAAAAAGAAAAAAAAAATTAGCAAAAACAAATCCTTCTTGGCATTTACTCCAGAGAATACCAGAAAAACAAGATGATAATTAAGCTTCTGTGTTGCATTACTTTAAAAATTCACTTGAATGAAAGCAAGCAGTACAATAATGAACTGAGACACAGAGCACTGTTTAATTAGAGGTTGAATTTAAGGGAGTTTATAAGAGCAACACTTAACAAAGAACAACTTGGTTGAGCTTATTGTTATGGAAAAGAGAGAAAAAAGTTGTGGTGTGTTAAATGGCATTTATAAAATTGGAGAGTCTGATCAAACTGATCCAGATTAGTCCTCCACAGTCATAAGACTTTAAAATTAGGTCAGGGGGATGAAAGGAGAGCTGAGTCTGAACTGTTTCGTACAAAGGCAATGTGACATATGGAACACGTTACAGCTCAAGAAGAGAGCATGAATGTTTTCAGGAAAGAAAATGACAGGGAACTCCATAAGGAAATTTACAACCATGGAAGCTTCAAAAATAATACAATTCCTATTTATTTGAGTATTTGTTTAGGGGAGTCAAGCACTGCCTGTGCTCCAAAGCATAAGCATTATTTATTCTTCTTTGCACCTTCCTAACGATGGTGTTTGTGGGGTTTGGTTTGTTCCATTTTCATTGGGCTGCAATTTTGCCTTCCCAGAACACTAAGGACAAGGAGCTACTGACATTTTAAGGGCTATGTTCTTTAGGTTCAATAGTAATGGCTTAAAAACCTTCTCTTTTTTTGTATAATTTTCTGCTTTCGCAAGGAGTTTAATAAGTGAAGACTTTTCAGTACAAAACAGTCCTCGAGCAAGTTGTTCCTCAGTCTCCCCGCCAGGTATTTCAGATTCCATCTCCTGAAGGAAAATACTGAACACTAATACAGAACTTCAATTTCAAATCTTGAACCTGAGACCTCACTGTAGCCTGAAAATTTCTCTTCAGTTAGAAACAAATGAAAGAAAATGGAGGGGTCATTCATTGTCTTTACACCATGTATAAAACTCTCATTTTCACTGACAAAAATTGAAGGTTAGGAGGAAGGCAATGAAGCTACAATACATTTTTGTGGAGTGATACCTGTATTAAAGACATTTCTTCTGTTAGAATGTAGATGAACTAGTCTCCTTTCTTGCAGTAATGCTGGTTTTTTTCTTCCACATAGCTGTAGACCAGCACAACCAGCTTCAGTCTAAGCTCAGTATTATTCCCAAATTAAAAGAAAAGGAAATAATTTGGTGAACTGCTGATCTTAGCTTCAACTTGGTGATAGAGCACAGAAAAGAGGACAAGAAGATAATTTTGTTTTACCAGCTTGATGTTTAGATATTCGTATATTCCATTTTTCAACATTCTTAGAGACCTGCCACTGAAAGATCTTCCAAAAACAGTCACACTTTCTTCATCCAGGTAAATCTGCAGAAGCACCACACAAGTCTGCAGAGATATTTTAAATCTAAAGAGTATTTTAAGTCTATGCAAGCAACTTTTAAGCAGAAGACACAGCATTGTTTCTTAAATTCCTCCAGTTTATTTGGAATCATGCTGATTGTGAGCATTAACACCTGACCCATTCCCTATTGGGTTTTCTCATAACAGCTTACCATTATTGACATTAGCTGAAGAGAAAACCAAGCCAGCTCAGACTTTATGCCAGATTATGACCTCAGTTTTATGCAACTCAGTGTGCAGTCGCCTGCTTTCTGTGTGACCAAAAGCAGAATTTGGCCTCAAGCTTTAGTTTTTAAGAGTTGCATACACACAACTGTCTCCAAGCATAATACCATTCAATAATTTAAAATGGGAATAAATATCCTTTTCAATTTTCCCTAATTTCTAGCAGTCTGAAAATACATGTCTTATCTTTACTGGATAACTCTAGCAAAGTATTTTGCCTTTAAACCCAACTTCTGCCCATGCCCTTGAGTTCCATGGTCCAGACAGTCTGAAACCCCCAGGCTTGACCTGCCAGGTTCTCTTCTGCTTTCCACTCATCTCAATCAAAGCCTTACTGGAGGTTTGACATCCCAAACTGTGCCTTCATATAAATGCAGACAAGAAAGAGGCCTTCGTGACACTGTCAAGGAAGAAATTTCTGAGGCTTGAGGTGCTCTCAACCCAGAGATGTTGGTTTAGGGTGAGATGATGGGAGCACAGGACAGAAAAGAGTCTTGTGTGTGGCTTGGCTTCTCCTAGGAGGGCACAGGAGATATCTCCTGAATATGTGTAGGCTTTCCTTCACCTCCAGCCATAGAAAAAGCTGCTTTCCATCAAAAAAAGCCCATTACTCCTGCATGCAGCTCAGCAAAGCTCTTTGTGTTCTCATTGTCAAAAAGGCCTGAGAACTTTTTATCTCCTTTACATGCAGTTATCCCAAGACATTGACTGACCTCTCACCTTTTGTAAAAAGTTCCCCCATATGTTTGCCTTCCCGAAGTTCCTAAGGATGTGATTGCTTTGTTTTGTTTTTGCAGTGGGCTCCTTTCCATATTTTCTAGTAACAGACTGCGAGCAGGTTAGGAAGGTCCTTCAGAGGACTTACGGATTATGCTCCCCAGTTTTCCAGCTTTAGTAATATCCTATCTCATTTGAACACAGGCCTTTACCTCAGAATTTACACAGGATGCTTTTGCTACTCACCACATGTTGCCAGAGTTGGTACCTCGTCAGGAATATAAAAGGGAGGGAGGATTGTCCCCCCCTTCTTCCCTAGCCTTGCTCCCATGGCTGTTCAAGCTCAGCTTGCTCAGAACAACTCTTCCTGCAGCCAGAGGAGCAGGGACTGCTCACCCAATACTCCCTGCTGAGAGGAAGTGGGTGGAGAGGGGATACTGAAATGACAGAAGTGCAGAGAGCCCAAGCTTCACCCCACTCTGCTTCCTCGCTCGCCAAAAGAGCTGGCTGGGAGCATGGGAGAGTAAACTGCTCCATGGGAAAAGAAAAAAAAAAGAAAAAAAAAAGAAAGAAAAGAAGGATGAAGTAATTGACTTTTGTAGCAGAGCAAAGGGAATGCAAGTTGTGGTGGAGGGAAGATAGGGAGGAACTGTGACTGACTCACAATATACTCAGTTCCCCGCTCCTGGGGAGATGCAGCTGTGCATCTCCCCTCGTTTAGGCTGTAAAGTTACACCATCGTCCAAAGTAAGCATCCCTAATTCTCCTACTTCCTGAAGCACAACAGTGTTTGGCTCCTTTTTAATCAGGAATTTCTACTGTGCAAATTGAAGTCTAGGATCAGGCTTTTCCTATGTGCAGAATTAAAATCCTTCCCTTGATTGTTTTGTCAGTTCCTGGGGAAAACTACTGAACTGTTACAGCCGATTTACATTGGCATGAACTTTTTTTAAAGCTCATTCCAAGTTATTCTTAATTCCTCAAGACACCTGAGATGTTGTGCATGAGCCAGCCACAGACACCTTTGGCAATGCTCTCCACATCTTTTTTCTTCACTCTGCTTGCTTCCCAGTTACTTCTGACCTCACTCAAGTAAGGATTGTTTCCCTTTTCTACCACTTCAGTAGAAGAAATAATGGCATGGAATTACTTCTGATTTTGGCCAGCTTTGGTTAAGGCCAGCAGAGTGTGGGGAAGAAGCTGAAGGAAGAGGCTAATCCAGTCTGTAGAACTAACCTAGGCCAGCCCAGACCTCATGAGAGGAAGGTCTAAAGGCCCACTCTCCCATTTTCTTCCCATGTGAGCTTTGGCTTGCATAACTTAAGAAAAGTCATACAACCTACCTGGGTTTCACTTTCCAAACTGTAAAACAACCCCAGCCTCTCTTACCTTCTGTTAACAGGGAAGTTGGAATTAGATAATCCCTG